CATGCATATACAACCTAAACATGAAGTAGCATTACAGATCAGTGGCTCAGAGACCTTGTGACCCTGAGAATCACAATTCCTTCTCTCTCTTCTCCATCTGAAGATCTAATTACCACAGCCTTTGAAAAGTTTGAGCTTTGGAACTCACCACTGGAAGGGTGACTGCATTCAGTTTCACCTTTACTTCCAGCAACCAAGTTACAGATGACTTGCTCAGAAAGGTTCACAGAATGTGCATTCCACATGACAGTAGAAATACAAAACTTTTTGATTACTCTGTAACAATCAAACTGTAGTAAAATGAACAAAAAAAGCAATTAAATCCACATGCAGACAAGACATAAAACCAAGTTAATAACAAATATTTTAGATTCCAGTAACAATGGGAACTTAGATAATAAATGAAAGTTATACCATAACAAAAAAAAGTTACAGTAAACCCATATCACAGGGAAAATAAAGCAGGATACAATACTTCATATCATTTCTGGGGATGCAATCCCTTCTGTTCTAATCTTCCTGACAGTTTTAGGCTAAGCAGGACCCAGCCATTAGGCACTTCAGGATTTTCATTACAATGACACTGCTAATTACCTGAACAGTTTTCCTGTGTGCAGCCAATAATTTATTAGAAGACCAAAAAGTATGTCAACAAGCTAAGTCACAATCCATAAAGGAGAGTAAATGGTTCTCAGTGACTTTAACAAAAGCAATAAAGGCCCTAAAGCATGATATTAAGGCTTCCTTTCCCATTTTTAGAAGCTTTGTTGCTGTATAATTCCACCAATAAATACAGCAATTGACATCTAAAAATGAACCTTTCTAGAGTGCCTCATCTAAATTTACTGAGATGAAAACATGTGAGTAGCACATATCTTCACTTCATTCTCCTGCAGTGTCACACATCATCTTCCTTGCCTTTTTAACTATCTCACTTGTAACTGGCTGTCAATGCCAAAATCTAGAAAACACATGGCTCTCCTATCCCTGCTTGCTTGGCTGAGAGAAGACACATGTGGTTGATTAAAAGAGCATATACATCCTTTTAACCTAGGTAATCAATAAAACATGACCTGGATCAGGAGTTCCATGGTACTGTTTAATTGCTTTAAGACATATGGCAATCTTCCATTTTGTACCTATAAAAACATGAACTGAAACAATACAATTCACCTAATTCATAATCTTAAGGTGAAAAGTTCATGTTTGGTGATATCCAGCACTGAGAGGGGTTTCATTTTCTGAAAGCTTATAGGCTTAACTATAGCAACTGCTGAGAATCTCAGCTGATACATGAATTTACATTTAATTCTAAATCATTCCAAGTAATTTGTTACTAATAGTGGGTTTAACAGCTGTTTATGTAAATAATTTAAATTACTGGATTTATTCAAGTCTTTTGATTCTTTTTTAATATTCAAACCAAAATGGATTATAATCTGTTTATCCTCTTTGTCAAGGTGCCTGCAGAAAAAGAAAAATAAAGTCAGTCATTTCTGTGTGAAACACATAGTGCATGATGCTCCTATGAATGGCATAAAAAACAGGTAAGCGAATCAGTGCTTCGAGCACAATATGAAATTGTGAAATAGGAAACTGCAATTATTGAATCAAATAATTGATTTGATAATCACAAGTACTACCTATGAAAACACTTAAGCATATTCTGAAGCTTTTACTCTCCAAGAAAGAACTCAGTCACATAAATTTCAGTGAAGTACAAAACTTCCAGCCTCAAAGTAAAAAAAACTCAAACAATATAGAAGTTAAAAAAAGAGGACCTAGTACATAAAACATTGTGTTGCATACTTAATGACCCCACAGCACCTGAGTATTTTCACTTTATCTCACGTTCAAGAACAATAAAACCAATTAAATTTTAACACATTATTACAAAACCAGAGAAAATAGATTTGTTTGGTATTAAGTAGGGCTACCTACTGGCAGCTAATGTACAGATGTTTAAAAACCTTGACATCCAGATATATATGTACCTTACAACACCACATATCTGCTTTGGTGTATGCCCAGATAGCACATGATGTACATGAAGTTAGAATTGTGTTCTTCAGACTTTCCAGGATTCAAGTCCAGTTACATAATTACATCTTAGTTATTACATCCAAGTTCATTCTTCTCAATATGCATACATCAGGTTAATAGGAATATAATTATTTATTGGTGTTTCTTATTACTGTGCCTCAACTACAATATGCTTCCCACAACTCTGAAGTCACTGAAATCTTTATAACTCAAAGCCAGCTTCAAATAAGTAATAAAAAAAAGCAGCAAACAAAAAAATCAATTCCACAATTCTTAGTATCAAATTCTCAAAATCAAATTTTCACTCCGTTTCAAGAAAAAAATAACCCAACAACAAAACCAACTACTAGTGGTGAGTCATTAGATACAGATATTTAAGACAGCTCAAACGAAACTCAGATCAGCACAATTTCCTCCTCATGTATCTAGAAAATTATGCTCTACCATTTTGCTTGGACTTTTACTTAATTTCATTCTGTCAGTAAAAAGACTTAATCACACAGAATAAACCTAAACTGTTTTCTGTCTTGGGAAGATTTTCCTGTGTTTGAACACAGCTTTGAAGAATCAAGTAAGCTAACACCACACTGATTATCACTGATGAGCCAGAGCAAAGCAAAGCAAATTGAGGTCACCAGCCTGTCAGCAATGTGACAGTCTTGAAACGTGTACCATAGGATTTGTAACTCAGACCATTTAACCCTAGAAATGTTCAGCTTCTGTATTACACTTTAATTTTGCGGGCTATTTTCACAGAGATTGTCAATGACTTATTTCCACTTTAAATATTCACAAGTTTTGCAAAACCCTTGTCTTCTCAGACAAATAGGGAATTTAAATGCTAAAAATAGTGAGTTTTCCCCTTTTTAGGAGCTAGAAGCAATGGAAGTTATGATCAAATACTTTTTTCTAATTAGAACAATAAATCAAGGTAACATGAAAAAGCTAAATCTGTTGAGTAACAAATAAAGGTTTTACTCCCTCACCATACATACAATTAAAAACCAGATTTTTATAAGATTTGCTAGTTAGAAAGTTAATAAATCTACCTCAGATAACACTGTCACACTACATCATTACCCATCCTCTTTAAATATTTGTCTCTTACAGCAGAATCACATTCTTTCTTAGGACAGCACAACACTACCATTATAACTATTGAAATTACTATTTTTTCAATTCCCTTTAAGAGTTTAACACCTTTTTTGACCTACTGTATTTTTGATTTTACCCCTACTGATTCTAGCTATGTTCCCAACTAAGTGTGCTACAAAAGAAACTATAAATGTTTGCTGGAAACAAAACTGGAATATTGACTTGTTGCACAGTGTTTATTGCAGAAACAAAACAGCCGTGGGCATTTTTAATACTCATATATTGTAAGGTTACAAAAAAAACCCCTCAAAGCTCAGGAGCCATTTTCTTAAATCTACACAGGAATCAATTTCACAACTACGCACAGAATTTTTGAAAAACATTGAAGGTAATGCACACAATCCTTTTCCTAGCCTACACAAACAGGGCCTAAGCAGCATTATCGTTACAGAATGAGACAAGATAAAAAAGAGAAAATCAACCCAAAACTCAAAAACGGTTGTTTGAAAGTCAAGTTTTATTATTCAAAATGTACAAGTAAAGGCCAAGGATGTTTTATTTGTCTTATTTCACAAATAGGAGGTGTCAGGAGAATTCTGTGTTTACATTTCACATAAATATAGGGTGAATGTACTTGCAAGGGATAGGCTTTGGGCTAGGTAAGATGATTAACAAGCCTAAATTAAAACTGAAATACAGCTATGTGATACCTTCAGCTAAGGCTTTAAAAGCCCCCACTGACTTGCTAAAATGGTGAAACATTGCCAATTCAAATGAAGGCGCTGTTAGGAAAAAGGAATTGCTGCAAGGCCTACCTACAAATGAGACAGGACTCCCCCTAGGTGAAGCTGCAACTAACCAGTGTCCTCACACAGAATGGCATAGCAGTACACATCTTCCAGCCAGCATGTCACCTTGGGAGCCTGGCACAGCTCTTTTCATGTCTGCCTCTGCAACTGGTGCCTCAGTGATCTCGATGCCCAGTGGAGAGTTACCTGCATGAAAAAATACAAAAGAGAAAAAACTGATTAGGTTGGTGCCTCTTTCCCTCCCAGTTGCCCAGTAAAAATCAGATGTGTCCATGCAGGAAGACTTTGTTTCAACTTAAGAACAGTCTTGTTTCTTGAACTTCAGAACTTCTTGAATGTTTCAGAAAAAAACATACAACACCCAAACCAGCTTTCAATTAACCATTCTTGCACTCAGCAACCTGTAAGAGATAGATTTACTCCTTCCTCACAGATTTTTTTCTCTCCATTACTTTACTCATCCCTCACAGTTTCATACAGATTTACATCTTTTTGTTTCAACTATAGTCCAGTGAAATAGTACCCCTGTAAATCTCTGCACGGACATGCAGAAGAGACACTGGCTAACATCTCAAGTTGATGTCATGTTCTGTATTTCCCGCCAGCAGCACCAAACAGGATTTAGGAATCACAAAATAAGTCTGGTTGCAAGGGACCACCATGGGTCGCCTGGGCCAACCTCCCTGCAGGGTCATCCCAGAACACACTGAACAGAATTGCATCCAGATGGCTTCCAGAGAGGGAAACTCCACAACCTCTCTGGGCACGAAGCACTATTCTGCAAGATAAGAGGCCCCAAGAAGAGAAATAGACTTTGGTTAAGAAGTAGAACAAGCCAGAACAAAGGTCCGGCAGGCCCAGGCAGGCCCGGCCCGGCCCGCCCCGGGTGCCGCTATAAACCGCCGCCCTACCCCGGCCTCCCCGTTAGGTTTCCGGCCTGGCCAGTCTCGCACCGCGCGGGCTCCATCTGCCTCTGCTCCTGCCGCACTCCGGCTGCTGTGCCTCGCCATGGCCGCTTCCTCCTCGGCGGCCGCGCTGCGCCCGGTCACTCACCTGATCTTTGACATGGACGGGTTGCTGCTGGGTGCGTAGCCTGAACCCCTCTCCCCTCCACGGCCAGGTCCCCGCTCCGCTCCACCCCGCGGCGGTGGGTCCCACCGCCCCGCCGCGCCCGGCCCGCCTGCCCCGACTGCGAGGGGCCGTAGCTGGCGGCGAGCAGCCTCTTTCCCTTCCTTCCTTCTCCCCTCCCCTCCGCCTCCCGCAGTCGGCGCAGCCCAGGCTGTGGCTGCTGGTTCACGGCCTCGCTCCGGGCGAGCAGCCAGAACGCCCCGGGCACCGCTGCTAAAACCAGAGTGAAGGGATTAAAGTAACAGGAAACGAGTTAATTCCTTCTCCTGCTTCCGCTACTTGCTGCCTTTCGGGGGCAGATTTCGCCTTAATTAAAGTAACAGAGCAGGGTGCTCGTACTTAAAGTAAGAGAGCGGGGTACTCGCTCTGGCTGGCGGAGGGCTGAGCGAGGCCGGGGAGGCTGTGGGGAGAGCGGTGCGGAGCAGGCTGGGGCTGGCAGCCGGGAAAGGTGGGCAGGGAGCGGGACGGGCAGGCAGCCTGGGCTCAGGGACCCCGGGCCGGGCACTGCCGGAGGCCGGGAGCAGCGGGTCGCGGAGGGCTGGACAGCGCTCGGCAGCGCTTAGAGCTACCGTGTCCGACTGATGAGCCTGGACAGCACTCTGATAGTGTTCACTTAGCTTTGGTATCAGTAGACTTTCTGCTTTGCAGGATTGCTGTATAGCTTGATGCTTCCTGTGCTGCCACTCGGTTCGATCTTGATGTTTGAATAGTCGCTATAATTAGGACAGTTTTTAAGTCTGCTCTTAACTCTTCCCTGAATCAGGACCCTCTGGTGAGGCATAATGGAATATTTTGGCATGTGACTTAGTTATTGAAATAGTTATTGTGAGTTAACACGCAGGAAGCAGTTCTGGATATAGGTGAATTCCTAAAAGGTGTGGACTGGAGGTGTGTTCCTTCTTTCTGCAAAACCTGAATTGTTGCAGTTTCTGAGAAGACTGAAATCTGATGAATTACACTGTGTTTCCAAGAAATGTGCATTTTTCCCTCCCTCAGGGCTGTAAGAGGTGAATGTGATCCACATTTACCTTCTAAAACAAAAATGGCTATGCTATGCAAAACAGTGATTGAGTTACATTTAGGTTTTAATTGTATTTTCAACTTCATCACTGGACTCTCAAATAGCCTGGGGATACACACACACACACACACACATATATATATATATATATGTGTGTGTGTGTGTAATCCTATTATCTAGAACCAATTATTTTAATTTTGTTCTTAGAAGTTTCAGGAAAGCTTTTTTTAGTTACCACAGCTCTTTGCCAGAAGCTGGAAATCTCCTTCGCACAGACAATAGTCACCTTAACAGGACAGTATTGGTAATGATACATGTATGTGATTTCTTCTATTTTAAAAAGTTACGCATTGTATTTCAGAAATCTTTCAACTGCACGGAAATAGACTGAAAATACTCTTCAAGTATCTTTCAGTACAGAGTAGTAAAAGTGACACTACGTTGGTGATTTTCACTATGTGCACTTAATTTCAGAGGACTTCAGTATGTTTCAGCCTCTGAATACTATGAAATGTTTAACATTCTTGGTGAGTCTGTTTGTTTCATGATAAGCAGTGACCCTTGGGAGGCAAAAAGGCAGTCAAGAGACTGCTTGGACTTTCCCAAGGTTTCTAAATGTTTCAAGAAGTTTGGAATAATTTGGGGGAAAGAGTCATACAAGGCACATAAAATTAGATTCCCTCTGCCCAACCTGCCTACTGTAAATCTTCTGAATGAGACAAATGTTCATATTGATGTTAACCTACATAAGAACCCCATAATTTTCTTATGAAATTTTTAATGTCCCGCATAATGTTCATTGGAAGTGATAAAATTAATAACATACATATTTCAAGAAGCTACAGAAATGGCCCAAATGTACTTCCTTTCAAAGAGTACAAATAAAAGTTTTGGTATTGAATATCTATTATTGCTAACTTTTTAAGTGGTTGGGTGATTGCATAGTTTAGAATCAAATTTAGAAATTTGATTGCAAATTTTAAAATCTGAAGCTTCAGGTTTTGCAAAACCTGAATAAAGTAGTGTCTGCAAATGTACATGAGTATTTTTAGATGTTTTCACCTAAACCCTACTGATTTTATAGAACAAATATAAATTGATCTATAATGATGAGAAAAATTGAGCATTAAATTCATTGGATGCAATGTGCCTTGAACTTGCTTTCTGTAATTGACATACTTCTAATTAAGGAAGGTAGGATATCTTCTGATAGAAAGATTTCCAAAATCTTTGTGAGTATGAAGTCCTTAAATGAGGTCGGAGATGTTCACAAGGTTCTTGACTTTGGAAACAATCCAAGTGTTACCCTATAAAACCTGCAGCCTATACTTTACTGGCGAATCCTTGGCTGTGTGGAAGTTTTGCTGAGTCTGATCAACTGATATTTTACCTCCCCCCTCCCTCTAACATAATTGAGGCTGATTAAGTTGTCCTTGAGTTGCACCTTGATGTATCAGTTTACTTTCAACACAGAAGTTACTGCCTCTGAGCTGCCTGTGGAAGTCCTTCAACCCTTTCATTCAGAGTCCTTCTGTATATTGTTTCAAAGGTTATCTAACACCAGGGGTTTTTTTGCATTTCTAATCAATGCAATGTACTCTTCCTTTTTTTTTTTTTTATTACCTAATGTTTCCCTTTGAGCTCTTGGATGAAATCTTAGGGGTGATCACGCACTGTTCACCCGTCTGTCAGCCTCCTTCTTCTGCATTTCTAATCAATGCAATCTGCCCTTCCTTTTTTTTATTACCTCATCTTTCCCTTTGAGCTCCTGGATGGAATCTTAGGGGTGATCACGCGCTGTTCACCCGTCTGTCAGCCTCCAGCAGGCTCCTCTCCGTAGGGGTACGTTGTGTGACGCCTCCTCCCAAGGTCAGGCCAGCTCTGTGCTGCCATGTGCTGCTGCAGGTGCATGCCACAGCCTGCAGCTCAACTCCATCCCACCTCTTCCCAAAGCATAAGGGTCATTGAGTCCGTACCTTGCAGGACTTCTGAAAAGTAGAACAGAGGACTAAGAGCCTTGTCCAAAGGCTCCTTGAACTCTGACAGCCTTGGTGGCATGATGACTGCTTGGGGGAGCCGGTTCCAGTGACTGATCATCCTCTCATGCAGCTTCATTAATTGTCGTAGTTGATTAGTGGTGCACTGTGTAGTAGAAACCAGAGGAAAAGGAATAACTACATCTTAATTTTTGTTGTACTGCTGTACTTTCTCAAAAAAACCCACCTAAAACAACAACAAAAAAAAAACCCACAAAAAACCTCCCAGCACTTCAATTAAGGCATTACATTTCTTAAGTTAAATTTCTACTTGATTTCCTACAAGAAATTACAATAAATGCTCAGAATAGTAGATTGCTTTTTCTTGAAATGTGGTAGTCTGTTCCTACAGAAGACTACTGTTCTAACTGCTAGTGTGTGGTCTAGTTAAAAATGTTAAACTATTTAAAATATCAATTAATTAATTAATTAAACATACTTATAAATTAATTTAATATAATTAATTAAATATTTAATAATATTGAAAATATTAAACCTACTTAGGCATTTACCCAACGCATAGTACGGGGTTAACAGATAATAAGAATAACAACAACAACAGAAACTTGAGATATTTGATTCCTAAATGGATCCTGTTGTTACAGTTGTACAGTTTGGATCTTGACATTTTAGCATATTGTAAAAACATACAAAATCAGTGCTAAAGATAGAGAAGGAAAAATCTATTTAACTTGTGCAGAATATAAAACTAGAGTAATGCCCCCCAGGATCTATCATATAAACTTACTGCGTAGGTTTCTTTTTAAACTATGACAAGTAGTTTTGTTATATAATTGTAGCCAATAGCTACCCTACTACCAAAACACAAATAGGATTGAATGTTGCCTTTGATGATCTGTGCTTAAACTTATAGGGGACTGAAAACATTTAAAATTCTCTACAAGCTACATGTGTAATGTGAAAAACACTTTCACTCTCTTGTGAAAATTAAAAAAGTTTATTAAAGGATGATAGGAGATAAGGACCATAAAGCAAAGGTTATCATGACCGGGGGCATCTTGGCACTCATCTAAGACCACACCATCACCTTCAGGGATACCCCTTAAATACCTTTTCCCTTTCATCAGTTTGTTGCATGTTCATAGACCCCTATGCATATCCATAAACTAGTTGACATTTTCCAAGAAATATTTTACATGGCTCCTCCTTGGGTCTGCCTTTTTAGAGCATGCATGTTTCTTGGCTGTGGTTCTGGCTCCTTCTCTTTATCCCTTCTAGTTTGGGCCTTGCTCCATACTTTCTTGAAATGGTGAGTGCTGATAGTTGGCATATCTGTAGCAGATGTCCTTATCCTGTGTTCATTGGATGTTATCCCATCCAAGCAGGCATTTTAACACAAGCATAGCTATTTCACTATGTCTAAGCTTAATTAACAACAGAAAAACAAGCTATATCTTTATAGTAAAGTTACTTTTACGCCATATATATAAAGCCTATTTTAATATTTGTAAAAAGCCATTATTATTATATGTATCAATAACATGTAATAGTAACCTTTCCCAAATGAACTTAGGAAAATGGCTGCAAAGATAAAATATTTCTTAGCATTGTGCTTAAAGCTGAACTAGAGCTAAATTAACATGTAAAGAGCATGACACTTTAGTATAGGAAGTTTAGTCATATATTATTTTTGTTTAAATTTCTCCTACGAGTAGGGATTGTTTTATGTAAATTATTATCCTTGTCAGTGCCCCTCAGTGTTAGAAAAGAGTATCTTAATGTGAGATAAATCAATGTGTTCAAATATGAGAGAAAGTTCCTAAAGCAGCTTAGTTTTGCAAGATAACTTCACCATAACTCAAAGTCATATTGGACTGCACAGGCACAGGTATGCCAGCTTGTGACCATTTCCAGAGGGATGGAATGTAGTTAAAGCAACTGGGATCAGAAGTTGCTGCTTTTATAGCCACTGTCTCCTTTGTGTGAAGACCTCTGTGTTTTGTGCCACTTCTA